TCCAAGAAAATGATTCTCCACCTTGACATCTCTCCTTTCCCCCGGGGGCTTTTTATTACTCGGAAAGACTCTTGTCTCTGGGACAAGAAAGTCCCATCTCTGATGATGGGATCTATTAGTGACTGGGCTCTATGACATCACACAGCAAACTGGATTTAAACAAACCAATGAGAGCCACCTGGGTGGCTCAGCGGGTTAAGCCTCTGCCTTTGGCTCAGGTCACCATCTCAGGGTCCTGGGATAGAGCCCAGCGTTGGGCTCTCTGTTCAGCAGGGAGCCTGCTTCCCCGCCCCACCCCCCACCCCGCCTGCCTCTCTGCATACTTGTGATCTCTGCCTGTCAAATAAATTAAAAATCTTAAAAAAAGAAAGAAAGAAAGAAAGAAAGAAAGAAAGAAAGAAAGAAAGAAAGAAAGAAAGAAAGAAAGAGAAACCAATGAGATCATCAGATGGGGGGGCTTTGTGGGGATGGGGGCTCTTTTCGTATTTAATGGAATGTTCTCTTTCAAGTCATATTGATAGCTTATATAGTTTGCCATCTTGGCACTTGTAAGCTGGGTTTATACAGAGTGATAATTTACAAGCAGAAGGAGGAAAATTCTGTTGCTCCCCTGGGTATTAAGTACGACGTCGTTCCCAGGTGATGTATTAAACGTTCCAAGCCTCACCTCAGTACGGGGCTCACAGAGATAAAGTGAGTTTTACTCATAATAGGCACCAAAGCCCAATGCTACCAGTTTCATTTATATGAGAAAGAAAATTAAGAGATTGTTCAAAGTCGTTAGGCGAAGCTGTCCTTAAAAGTAGGAGGAAAATGCTCAATGTTAAAAAATGCGCTTGCTCATGATTTTCTTTTTGCTTTTAAACACTATAAAGTGAGGAAGGTAAAGGCTCTGTTCTGTCACAGCCTCAAAAAACCTGCGCAGTGCCTGATTTGTAGGAAAAAAATTATATTACTGCAAGCTTTCTCTGCCTCAGATATTGGGCCAAGTGAAAAACATCACTGGACGCATTATCTCATTTAATCCATGTCGCAAAGGTGTGGGGTATGGACAATTATCCCCTCTCTAAATGTAGAGACACTGAAGGGAAACCATTTTATTTTCCAATTTCCCAATTAGGAAAAGAGTATAGGAAATATTCCTTGCTTATAGGGATGGCTGATCCCAAGGGGCTTGCAGTAAACCCAGGTAACAGTCTCATCCGTTTGCCTGACAGTCATATACAACTCAAATGCTACCTTATGTCCAGGACAGAACAGCAATCACCCCGAGCTTCCACTTCCAAACTAAGACACGCATCCATTTAACGTAATTCATTCTTTCAACTCAGAGACATCTCAATAAAAAATATATATATACCGAATAAAATATTTAAAGAAATCCTGAGCCAGAAAAATAAGTGCCATCCTGAATTCTGACTCAGACCTGGATGCGAATCCTGCCCGCGGAACCGCTGTAGGCTTTGGTGGCCTCGTCTATAAAATTACCCTACAAACTCTAAGAAGAGATGAATGAAAATATGTGCCATGTTATGTAATATTGATGAAAGCACCACATCATTTTAATTGCTATTGCCGTTATTATGATGAATAAACTGACAAAGATGTAAAGTTACATAGAGGCAAGTAGGATGTGTTGTGGAAACGAAATCAAACAGCTGTCTCTGGGCCAGGAAATTCTCTCCCGGTGCTGCTAAGCATTCATTCTCACTGATCCGAGCTGCTTTTGTAAGAATGGAATGGTGCTCTAGCTAGCACAGGAAAAAATCATCCTCATTCTCCTCTCTCTCTTTCCCTCTCTCTCTCTGTCTCCTTCTCTCTTCTTCACAGATCTTGACTGCCTTACACTTTTGGCAAAATGATATCTGAGTCTGACGGGGAACAGAAGACCTCCCAGATCATGACATTCCCTCTTAAACCTAGCTGTGCTGGCCTCCAGTAGCCAACATGGATATGATCGTGCAAATGGAAGGCACGCACGCTCCAGCCTCAGCAGCTGGCTAAGGCGGATCAAGGAGAACCAACCCACCCCCCCGCCCAAGTCCCATTTGCTGACAGCTTCATCACGACCAAATGAGGAGCGCAGAGCCATCAAACATACCAAGCCCAGGGCTCTGTATTTTAAGAAATATATGCACACAGACCCTGAGAGAAAATGCTTCGGGGGACACTTAATTGGCAGAATGGGGAGAGCTAAGTGTGGGAATCTTTGCTTAACAAAACACAGAGCAACAAAGCACCAGAGTGTTTCTGAAAGCCAAGGCTACCAAGTGAAATTCAGTCACTAGAGGCCAGATCTACCACCAAAATTTTCCTTCTGCATAATGTTTACACTGCAGACTGCTTTGCTGACCTTTTCTAATAATGAAGTCAACCCTACCCATGCATCAATCACTGAGGCTTGGTAACTCAGGAAGAATTAGTACCCATTTACTGGGTAGGATAATTTACCCCAAGATGGGAGAGAGGTGCTTTGTTTTTTTTAATTTTTTTTTAATTTAAGATTTAGTAGAGTCTATGATCACAGGGTTATGTTCCTTTTGGTAAAGCTCAGTCGTTGAGTAAATTAAAACTGCAAATCATGGAAACAGAAATGAAAGACCCACTAAACTCTCCCTGAGCCACAATTATTCAACCTTAGTGCCCTGCATAACTATACCTCTTAAGGCTGCTAGAGGGGAGGGAAAGAAAAAAAAAAGTCCCCAAATCATGGCAACTGTGAATCATAATTATATTATTAATCAGAATTAGTACATGGAAATAAATCACCGAATGGGTAGTTGTTTGGGGAGGGAGACCACCTTGGCTGTGGAGAAAGAATAGCCTTTGAAAATTAAGTTCATGGATGTGTAAATGAAGAGTACATAATGTCACAATTCTGCCTAAATGTCTTCACAAAGCATAATTAATTAATAAATTAATGCAGAGCTTAACTAGGCATTTTGAACGCTAACATAGTTTTCTGTGTTTGGCTAATAGCTAGCAATTTTGCTTACACCTTTACCCCCTTATTACATAGCAATGAAGACTATTTAGTAAATACATGTGAAAGGCCACATACTTCACCTCTTCTGGGTTGGAAATAACCCCCTCCTAATACTTGTATTTATAGAAGTTAGTTACAGAGACACCAAATCAAGTAGAGCTGTGATAAGGTGTCCACTAAGTTATCTTTTGGAGGCTCAGAACGGACCCAGTCTCTGAGGGTTCCCCTGTGATGGCCTGGCCAAGTGCAGGGTAGGGGCTGGGGAGAAGGGAGTTTGGGGGATCCAGAGCTTCAGTGAATTTTAACCTTTTGTTAACCCTAAATGGACTCAGCTGGCTTGGCTGCTTTATGAATTACTTACGATGGTGGAGAGAGGCAGGGGAAGGCTATTTTCTAGCTAGTGAAATATTACAGAACAAGAGAGACCAGTTTGAAAGAGTTGTGGAAAAGAAACATTTAAACTGTGCTCTTGTAAGATGCTACCCAGGCCTGGTTATATGTCTGGTACGAACCCTTATAAGTCACCTGGGAATTTTTCCTCTTTGATGTAGGATGGGGTAAAACAGGTCCCACTAGAGGATTTGGGGTGGTCACAGGCACTTTTTATTGTCTTCCGAAAGTATTACAGAGGCAAAATTTTTAGTTGGGTGCCCAAAGAGAATGATTTTGAATAGAAGATTCCCTATTCCTGCCCTAAGAGGAGAAAGTTGAAACTGAACAGTGGTGTTTGGAACTAGGTCCAGGGTAAGCACAGACAAGGATTTTTAACACTCAAAACCAGGTCTGGGTTAGGAGGTAGGGACTGGCTGGGCTGAAGGAAGAGGCAGGAAACAGGGCCCTCCACCTCAATCCTGCTACAGGGTTGCTCACAGGGGCAACGTTCCTGCCCTCCTCTTCTGGTGACTTTATGGGAAGTTGGCTGAGTCCCCACTTATGCAGGGGGAATGCAGGCACAGGGGTGCCCTGCAAATGGGTCCTACCCTAGCCGCTTTAATGACAGGTGGGAGGTGAAATCCAGGCGACACTGTCAGTGGGAGGAGGCACTGAACTGAACTGGGAAATACTGCTGATCCTGGGGCTTTTTCTCAGGGCTCCCCTCCACACCACCAACTCCCTGCACCAACAAAGACACTGCTTGGAAATCAGAATCCCCTCCAACACACAGACACACAGGCGTAGGCAGGCACAAGCCCTACCTCATTCACCTCATCACTCCTGAAACCACAGACTGGTGGGACTAGCCGGAGGTCAGTGAGTCTGGGCTAGCACATCCTGGCCACCGGGAATCCTACAGGCTACAGTCCAGAGTGGTATTTATGATACTGTATTGTTGCAGGCAGATTTTGCCTTTACTTGTGGAGCTGGGCGTGCTAGCATGTTTCAGACCATCATGGCCAGTCCTGATGTGCTTGGGGAAGGCATGGAGAACCTCCACATCCCTCTGGTCCCTGCTGGTGGCAGTCTATAGTCCCGCATCCTCCCGCAGTCTCTCGAAAGTGCCTAGATACCAGGGCAGGGCTCTGCGTCCATTTTGCCAGCCAGGAATCACCGAGTTTGGGAACTTTGAAAAACAGGGGGTGGGGGTGGGGGTTGCCAAGGCTCAGATTTCGGGGCCAGAGTTCTCAACCAGGAAAGCAGTTGAAAATCAACACTCATCTATCTGCCTTTTCTTTCTTATCCCTCAATGCTTCTATGTTCCAGGACTCCACACAGATACTAACCACACCACACACAAACAGACACACAGACACAGGCGCGCGGGCGCGCTCACACACGCGCTCGCGGGCGCGCGGGCGTACACACACACACACACACACACACACCCTTGGGCTTAGAAGGTTTTTTAATTCCGAAGGCAGCAAACCCAAAGAGCTAGCTGCAAGGGTCTCTGCCACCACCCCCTTCCCCTCCTACCCCGCGAGGCTACTTGACAGTCTATACACAATAAAACCCCATACATTCCAAACAGCACAACGTAACCGAACCCCGCCAGTGACTCCAGCGCGTCCCATACCTGATATGCAGACGATGAAATTGGCTTGAAGAAGAAAAAGCACCTCCCAGACTATTTCCATCCTCTGATTCTCATTCCAAGTGCATCACTCGACGGGAAAACAGGGGGGGAAGGGGGGAGCCCGACACGGCACACACACATACAAACACGCACACACTTGCGAGCGAGCGCACACTCGCACTCCCACCCGACAGCCGGCCAGGGACAGTCACCCCCAAGATCAATATCGCAGTTTGAATTGTTCCGGCAAATCTCCCCTCGGGCTCGACGGATGTGCGCCCCAGATGTGCTGACACATGTCCGACGTCTCGCTGCCCCGGAGGTCTCCCCGATCGCCGGTCTCTGCTCCTCGCACGAGAGGCGGAAACAGCACTAGCAACGGCGGCGGCAGCCACCTGAAGCCACCAGCGCCGGGCTCTTCCTGCAAAAACGAGACCCCGATCCGCCTGGCGCCCCAAGAAGACATAGACGATAGCCCCCCGCCGGGCCGCGCCGCACAGTTCCGGGCCCCCGGCGCTCGAAGCTCGCTGGCTAAGCCCAGGTAGTCCGCGACAAGTTGCCCTCGAAGTCCGCACCCCTCACCGGGGCATGGTCAGAGGCTGGCTGCCGCGCTCCGGGGCCGCTCTCCTCCTGCTTCCGGGGGGCGGGGGTAGGAGACGACACCGCAGACAGGGGAGACAGAAAGAGAGGCAGGAATTATTGCCCGAAACCGCCGGCAGCCTCCGCGGACCCTCCCTGCTCCCCAAGTCCGCGCTCAGCCCGCCGCCTCTGAACCCGGCTGGGGCGGCGCGTCCAGGGCGCAGAGTGCAGAAGGCGGGGAGCCTGGGACCCGGGCGCGTCAGGGGCCCACCGGCTCCCCACGTCGTGCGCGCGCTTCCCGTTCCTCTGCTATTTTCCTGGGCTCCCCGGAACCCCCAGTTGCCTCGCTTCCATCTCCCGCAACTAGAGCCGCCGCCGCCGCCGCCGCGATTTTCCGCAATGCAACTGCAGGGGTCGTTATTTCCTCGCCTACGGAGCCCGGCGCTGCCGGATTCGGAGGGGAGGAGGAGGGCAGGTGGGGGCGGGTGGAGGGGAAGGAGGGGGCGGCCCGGCCAGGTGAGCGTCCCCGCTGCCGCCAGCTTCCGCGGCAGCCCCGCAGCCCGGGGGGGCGGAGGCAGGAGGTCGGGCTGGGGAGCCGAGGCTCAGCGCGGCCAGAAGGAGGAGGTAAGGGCTGGGCTTCGGAGCTGCGGACCAGCGCGGAGACGCCTGGGCCCCCGCCGCTCGGTGGCCCTCCAGGATTGGGGAGTTTCTCATCTCCTTGGAAAGACTGGAAAGAACTTCGCGCCAGCCGCTCGGGCGCGGGAGACCCGGGCGGGACTCAGCTGGGGCGCTGTGATGCGCTCTCCCTCTGCTGCAGAATAGTGGGGATTTTTTTTTTTTTTTTTGCATAATTCATTCCCTGCCCTCTCCCTCTCGTCCCTCTCCTGCCCCCCCCCCTCCTTCCCCCTTTCAGCTCCAGTGCCAGAACACTACTTACCCCAGAGTTCTCTCTGCACGTTCCTAGACCAGGTGCAACTCTCGCCCGCGAGTCCCTCACCTCCCTCCTCCCCGAAGGGGGAAAAAACCGTCTTTCCAAGTCCGGGCGCGAGCAGTGGCCGCTGCCAACTGCGCCTCTGCTCGGCTCCGGGCGGATCCGAGACTACGGGAAACCCGGGCTTCACCGGAGCGGGCTTCCCTTCGTTTCGGTCTTTTATTCTGGTTTTCTTTCGGGAAGCTCAAGTGCTTTGGAGGCTTTTGCGGGGCTCCAGAATACTCTCCGCCAGCGACACTCAGCAGCTTCCACCGAAGGAGATTCCCCCACCAAACCCGCGCGCGCGCGCGCACACGCCCAGCGCGCGGCTCTCCGAGGCCCCGGGGGAAGGTGGGGGCGGTGTGAGCACCACCCACCGCCGTGGCGGTGGCCCAGGCCCAGGCCCGAGGCCGCGGGTGCGCAGAAGGGCTCGCCGCGACCCGGGGAAGGACGAGCACCCGGGCAGCGGCTCGGAATGCAGATGCGGGGGGAATTGGGAGGAAATCCTGCGCTCGGGACTGTTCGCCCGAGAAGAGGGCTGGGAGCGAGAGAAGAGACAGATCGTAGCATATTTGCATTGCCTCGGTCGCCGCAGCAGCGTTTTGAGAAAGCCCCAGACCTACCTCTTTGGGAGTGCTGAAGAAGAGAAGGGCAAGGGAGGGGGAAATCCCTGGAAAGATCTCGGATTTCTCGGCGCGCTTGTCCGGATTGCAAACTGTGACGTTTGGAGATTTTGCACAAGCGCGGATGGACACACACAACAAACACAAATATACACGTAACCAGCGGGGGATTTTTTTTACACTTTTTTTTATTTCTGGTGTTTAGAATCCATTTCAGTGCGAGTCTCGGGCTAATAACCGCAGCAAGGGTGGATAAGTGGAAAGGGAGAAGAAGTGAGGGAGGGTACCGTACATCCGCACACAAATTAGTGAGGCTTCCAGGCTGTGTGGCGTCTGGTGGGGCAGGGTTGGAGCCCAAGGAGTAGTAACACTGCGGCGCTCCCAGGCTTCCTGAACGGACTCCAAATGCCCAAGGAGTCTGGCGGATCTTTTTGCAGAGTGGCGGGGGTGGAGGTGGCGGGGAGCGGGGGAGGAGGGGTGCGGAGCCAACCAGCCTAAGCATCCTGGGTTGGGCCGGTTTAGGGAGCTGCGTAGTCCTGATGCCCCTGGGGATTGGGAAGAAGAACCACCTGGAGGACTTGCTTTAACCGGGAGATGTGGCCAAGGACTCCCAAGTGGTCAGCACCTGAAAAAATCTAGGCCCAGATGAAGAAAGTCCAAGATTCTTAGGCGGGGAGTTCCGAGGCTCTCAGCAGGGAAGTCACTGAGACCTCAGAACATTTAAAGAATCTAAGATAGTGAGAATTAGCCCCTTTGGGAAATATATGGGGGGTGTTTGTCTCTGTGCCTTGAAAGTCGACAGTTGGAAAGGGATTTTTAAAAAGAAAGAAAAAGTAGTTCTCTAAAAATGAAGAAATCCCACCCTAGCCAGGATTTGGAAACATGGAGAGTGACCGACCCTTCCGTACTAGGGAGTGGAGTTTGCTGCCAGCAGGAGAGCTCTCTCTGGAAGCAGAAGCAGGGTGCCTGGATTTTTATACCAAGACCCATTTATTTATTAATGAAGTATGCATACATTATGCAAACACCTTATATGTGGGAAGCACTGTAGCAAGAGGCTGGAGTTTTGTAATTGAAAAATCCATAATCCTCTCTTTCAAAAATGCTTACAGACCATTTTTTTCTTCTACATTTTGCCTTAAGAGCCAATGCCAGTAAAATAATACTTACTTAATATTCCCCTTTTCAACTTGTGCACTGACCTTCTGCACTCTCACAGAATATTTAATCTATTCTCTGCCACCAAGTCCTTCCAGAAAAAAAAAAAACAAAATCAATCCATATGATAGTATTTAAGTAAAAATAGTGGCATGCATCAGTTCTTTGCTATATGTCATGCATTGCCAAATCCTTTATGTGAATTATCTTAATTATCATTATCTAGATGAGAGAAATATTATTACTTCCATTTTACAGATGATGAAACAGAGCCCCAGACTAGTTATTTGCCCAGGGTGTAACGGTTATTAACTGGTAGTGTAGAGATGAGAGCCAGGCATTTCAAACTCAGTGGACATTCCACACCATCTCCCTTCATGCTCTGCAAAATGAAAAGTATCATCTTGGGGAAGTTATTTTGTATTTAGGTAAAGCAGAAGTCCATTTAGGTAAAGCAGAAGTCCATTTAGGTAAAGCAGAAGTCCTTAAACTAAGGCAGGGTGGAATGTAATGGTATCTTATGCAGTTTAGAACTTAACTGCTGTTGAATTGAGAGGAAGACAAGATCACTGGGAATTAGGGATAATCAAAGGCATTTCTAATGAAAGAACCTGAAAGCCTGCTAACTGCCAATTCTGTTCTCAGCACTTGGAAGACAGCACAGAATACAACAGTTCCTCAATGCTTAGTTTCAATATTCTCATTTTTTAGAAGAAGAAAAATTTTTTTCTTGAGTCATTGCTAGGCTTAACCTGTATGTTTTCTTGAGAAAACCTCCATGTTAACCCAGAAGATAACTCAGAAAAAGCATGTACTAAGTAGGAAACTGCTGTCTTCACTTCTTATTGAAATGTTTAGTTTTTTAGTCTACAAAACAAACAAAAGAAATGAAAAAATAATTGGAAAATATTAATTCATAACAAGTTTTTTTTTTCCTATTTTAATGAGCTTATACCCATATCTTGATAACAACAGAGAATCTCTCTACCCAATATCTGCTTTCATCTTTTGGCTCTGTCCTACCCTACAGCTCTCCCCTACAAATTCAGTGCAAGTATGCTGCACATACAATAGAAAGTCTCTGCTGAGTCCCACCAGGGGGCCAATTCCAGTTTCCCATAGAAAGCAGGATATTACAGTTCTCCCCAGGAAAAGCCAATATTGAAATCCTCTGGATTCTCTTTCTACTTCCTCTTTTGGTCAACCCTATAGAAAGAAGAGCAGCTTCTTTGGTAAAATTTGTACAAGCTTGACATCCATTAAGGCACATTCCCCAGAGGCTGGACATCTGTATTAGGAGCCAAAGCAAATACATCTCTCTCGACGTACCTGTGTTCAGGCACAGTGGGCTCACTATTTCACTAGTCTCCTTGCCATATCTAATTCAGAAAGCAGAGTGATTGTCCAAGGGAGACAGAAGGAGAAGTTACAAAGGACCACAAGGAAACCTTTTATAGTTAAAAGATCTATTCAGGGGACGCCTGGGTGGCTCAGTTGGTTGGGCAGCTGCCTTCAGCTCAGATCATGATCCCAGCGTCCTGGGATCTAGTCCCACATCGGGCTCCTTGCTCGGCGGGGAGCCTGCTTCTCCCTCTGCCTCTGCCTGCCACTCTGTCTGCCTGTGCTCGCTCTCGCTCCTCTCTCTCTGACAAATAAATAAATAAATAATCTTAAAAAAAAAAAGATCTATTCAGTATCTTAATTGTATTGTTGGCTTATGGGGTGTATATATATGTCAAAGTTATCAGATTGTGCATTTTCAACATGGGCAATTTTTTTTTTTTGTCAACTACATCTCAATGTTATGCCTTCAAATGGATGATTTACTTTTACAAATATAAAACAGAGACTGTAATCATAAATAGTCACAAATAGATGTATTTAATAAACCATGGCTGGGCTAGGCTTGTAGAACTTCAGCGCACTGTTGTTGTTCTTTGTGAAATGCTACTTACTACTAAATTTCTCAGACTTTGAGAAATATTAAA